AGGCAGTCCCTTTCAGGTTTGAGCATGGAAACAAGCATGGTAGTATGCATGGTTTTAAGGAGCTTACCAACAGCTGTGGTGGGTCTAACTGCTGGCGCCATCCATCTCCATCTGCTAGTGACAAAGGCTGAAAGAAGGCTCAGACGCTTGGCAAAGGTGGCCTTGCACTGAGTCAGAAAACTTAGGTACCCAAAATACGAATTCGTCGACTGTACCAATCTTGCTGCAAGCACTTCATGACAGGGCAGAAGAAATCCCATCAGAACACCCAGGTACACGAAAGTTTCCACTCGTTGGAGCGGTCTGAAGCCCGGGACAACAACAGGGGTATCAGGGACCTGTGGCGACTGCAGATACCGAGTTTGCTCAACTGCCAGTGCTAGCCCTATACTTCGCAGTTCCCCGATCAGGTCACTCGTCATTCTAGCTAGTTGTTGTGGGGAGGTAGCAAGCAGGAGTATGTCATCAGCGTACACAATAGCGTACAAACTGTGCTCCCCAGTGGAGTCCTTGACCCAAGTGTCCTCAGTTCGGGACCACTTCACATGGAGTCTGGCCATGGCAGCATCAAGCACTCTCGCAAAGATTTCAGCTCCATACGGGGAGCCTTGCAAAATTCCCCTGGACAGCTTTTGGGCCCACCTCGTGCCCGCGAAACTCACCCTCACGGATGTATTAGTGATTATTTCAAGCAGTCGTCTTGCTTCCACGGTTGGAGCAGAGCAGCCTAGGTAGGCCGCAACACTTTCATGACTAAGAGTGTCAAAGGCCTGACTCACATCAAGTTTCGCCAGTACGAGGGGCAGTTTCCACTCTGCAGAGAGGTTCATGATGTGCTTAGCAGCACAGACAGCGTCCATCACCTGAGCCCCTTCCTGGCCTGGGACCTGTCCTCCTGCCAGCGGGGGAAACGTGGGCCTCAGTCTGACCAAGAGAATACGGGTGAACAGCTTGTACGCTACTGGGGACAGGACAATCGGCCTCAGATGCGAAGGGAGCGTAGGAACTTTGATTTTAGGCAGTAGTGTCATATGCGCTTCCAACCAACCCTGTGGGTACGGTTCCTCTCCGGTCAGGTACCTGTTGAGGGAGGCAACTAGACCAGGTGCCAAATCTGTCTGAACAACGACCTTGAGGAGCTCATATGTAACAGCATCATCACCTGTGCTTTTCCCATTCTTGAATGACTCCAGGTGAAGCTTGACCTCGTCGGGGGGGAGGGGTGCCTGGTCTGCAGCATGTGCATGGGCAGGTGGGGGACAGGTAAGTCAGGGGGGGTGAACTTATTCTGAAAGTGGGCCTTGAGAGCAGAGATGGCTTCCGGAGCCCCGCCCAGTCTTGCAGAAAAGAGTCCATGCGTGACCCTCGTGGATTGTCTCTTCCTGAAGTATGAGATAGCCACATAGTCACCATTGGCTGCTCTTTCAAGCAGGTCTGTGCGCCACCGACGCTTGGCCTCAGCTCTGGCCACCACCACCTGTCTGCCGAGGTCATTGCGCTCCTCTGGGTCCTGTGCCTCTTTTCGTAAGGAGATGATCTTACGAACCTCTGGAGGATCTCGGTACCTACAAGAGGCTGCCCGTTTAGAGCAGGCTTGGGCAAGCTCGGCGAGGTCTGAGGCTTGGAGGCCTCTCCCCTCAGTTTGAAGCACCTCCGCCAGGCGCTTCGCCACACCCACCGCCTGAGTGACATCAAGCTGCCACTTCCCACACAGGGAGGGGGCCCACCTTCTTTGTTTCGTCTTTTTGAAAGGGGCATTCCGAACAAAGACAGCCATAAAGGACTCATGATCAGACCCCAAAATGAACCCCGACCGATCCTTGACTTCCCCACCAACACCAACAAGAAGTGGTTCACGCACGCACTAATTTCGTGCGGGTCTCTCTTCGTTTCCCAGCACACTGCATCTCGCTCCCGGACAAGCGCCGTTTTCAGCTACAGGCCCTCGACAGGCTCAAGCAGGACAAATGGACGAGTTCGGTTCCAGGCAGTCAAGGTGGTTTTCTATGGATTTCCAGACACCGTAGTGTTGAAGAAAGGCATAAAATCCGGGCGATATTGCAGTGTAAAGACTTTGTTGAAGCATACAGAAAGCAATACCCCGCTAAAGCGCTGCCGCCTGCAGAATTTGATTGGCGGGGGAGGGTTTATGTTGGGAAGGTTCAACTACTGGTTGCTCCTGATACCCCCAGGGAATTTCGCCTGTACCCCCAACATGAACATGATGTCTCTCTGACGGACTTTCGAGGCACCTGTACGGGATGGATGGTTTCGACCAATGCCTTCTCGCAACTTGCAGGAGTTCAGCCACATGAGCTCCCGCAGCTTTGGTCAGATCTTCTCCCTCAGGGGAAATCTTGACTCTCACAGAGCAGTCAGACAACCTTTCTCCCTCCTCATGAAACCAGCTTCTTCTCTTGGAATTTACAGGGGAAGAACCTTGGAGGCGTTGCGAGGCCTGTGCATTGAAGCGTTCATGCTCCTGGAGCATGGACTGGAGGCTATCCAATCTCTGCGAGTGGGTTCCTAATGTTGTCTTGTTTGAGATGCATCGACTGCATGCTTTGTTGCAAGGACACTACCCAGGGGGGGGAGGTGTTCTCAGGCATGACCGCATGAGCTGTAGGTTTGGGAAGCACGGGGGAGACTACAAGCCCCGGGCCCGCACCTCTGAACAGAGAGGGTGGCGCATCAGTTCCCTGGTTTGCATCCCTGACACGATCATCTCTTGTGAGGTCATATACAGCCGGGGCCCCGAAGTTTTGGAGGGTTCGTGGTCGTTTCGCTTCAGGAGGAACAGCCCCACCCCCGGACGGTGTCACCCTGAGCGCCTCAGCTAGTGTAGCAACTGAAGCAGCAGAAACACGATCCTCATCCTGCAGATGCGTCAGCGGACGTGCCCCCCCCAGCGACCCCATTGTCAGTAGTCATCCCCTGACCCGACATGCTCACTTGCAGCGCTCTCACAGTTTCCCCCAGCCCACCCGCCCCACCTGAATTCACCTCATTCACAAATTCCGGAACATGCACAGGAGCATGCACATGCACAGGCGGTTTAGAGCAGGCGTGCAGCAAATCCACCTCCGTCCCAGCAACCCCCACATCCAGCATGTCTTCAACGTCCTGCCCCGAACACCCTCAGCCGGCAGGGGAGGTTCCCACGGCACCGTCGTGCCATCAGACGCTTGAGAATGCATCTTCCAGAAATGTCCGGCCCCCTTTCCTTCCACCCGGCCAGCCCCTGCTCCAGCGTAGTCAGCACCCACCCGGACCCCTTGGCCCCCCCCCCCAAGAAGCTCAATCGTCAGGCCGACAAGGGAGGGTTCAGGGTTCGGTTTAGGGTTTGGGGTTTAGGGCCTAGGGTTTAGGCTTCATCACCAACGGCCTCATCAGACCCGCGTGTTGGCTCACCGTCAGGTACCCAGGTCCCACGTTCCCACTCGGGGGTGGCAGAAGGGGCAAGCGCATCCCACTCATCACCAACGAAACGAGATCCAGGGCCGATGATTGAGTCCCTTGTACGAAGCTGAAGACATGACACCATCGAGAGCAGCTGCCCTGCAGCGTGGCAGGCTGTGCAAGCCTGATTTCGCATTCCATGGGTGCATGCGTTAGCAGATAGCTTAATCCGCTCGGCCTCGAATTGCAGCCGATCGGATCCAGGAGCAAAGGCAATTGAAGCACCAATCCCGCTCAAATTTGCCCTCGAGCCATCCCAGCAGCCGCGTTCCCTTGCACCTTCCTCCAAGGCAGTACGACAACCCCTCATCGTTCCAGGCGGCAACGCCGGACTCAACGCCTCGCCACCCTGGAGAGGCCCTGGAAGAATTGGTGCTGTCGGCAGATGAATGCCGTACGCCACAGCACAGAAGGCCAGAGAGGCGGTCAAGCAGTCCGCAGATGGCCACCGCTGCAACAAATGGATTTGCGCTCCATAGCAGCGCTGCTCCAAATAACCCGATACAGACAAGAGAGGTTGATAACCAAATCCAAGCAAGACAAGCAACCCAACAAACCAGTACCAAATCACTCGCAAAAGTAAGCAAAAAGTGACGTCCGTTGAAGTCGCCGCGGATCTCTCCGTCAAGGTCTGAGAAGAAGCAGTTTGCGGCTGAGGAGGCGAGGTACGCGGCATCCCGATATCGATTTCCTCCACAACATCGGGATGGCTGTCCAAAGACTCGGCCAATGCCGTGTACCCTATCAAAGGCTGGGTAACGCCATGATTGGAAGTGAGCTCGATCTCCGATGCAAAAGCCCCTTTGTCGCGAGACCTGCTCCAGGGTCTCACAAGGCAGCAAAACGACTGTGCCAGTAGCCCTAGAGACACGCAGGAGCTGCAAATGCAAGAGACCAATGTGGAAGCCACGCACCTTAAGAAAGGACCTTTGATCACTCTCGAGAACAAACCCAGATTCCGTTTCATCTCCGCCTTCAAGAGGTACATCAGGTTCGTAAACTTGCCCGTCGGCAGGTTGTTCGTTTGTGTTGGAGCTTCCAGGTCCGTTGCGTCCATCGCCGTCACGATTGTGAAACCTTCCGTTTGACAGTAAGTGACGAAGTTGTAAAACCAAAGGAAAACCAGCAAACAAAGAACAAGCACGACGGAGAAAAGAAGCACCTGCAAATCGAAGAAGAGTGGGAAACTCGGAGGTCCTGTGGACGTGGTGCGCATACTGGCACCAGAAATCGCCGTAGAGTCCGCTCTGGCACAGCTCCAACCAAAGAAGGGTGTGAGAGATTGCGAATCCCCACATCACCTGGAGACGCAGTGCGCTCATTGTGAAGTGGTCCTGCGACGCTGACATCAGCGTTGAAAAGTCTTGCCGCAAACTTTTCCGTGGTCCCAAGGTTTGAGGCCCTAGAGCCGCCTTGTAGGGATCAAATCAGTCTGCTCGGCTTGAGCCAAAATGGCTACGGGTTTAGGGTTTAGGGTTTAGGGTTTAGGGTTTAGGGTTCAGGGTTTAGGGTTATGGCCCTCTGAGTTTGCATCTGGCTTCATATCCATGGATGCGCAATCCTGCTGATGGGCCATCATGTGCCGCAGCTCGAAAGAAGGCAGTGACATGCCCATCCCCTGCCTCGGTTGGGCTCAGAAGGGTTTAGGGTTTAGGGTTTAGGGGGTTTAGGGTTTAGGGTTTAGGGCTCAGGAACTTCCACCCGATTCCCCAGCAAGTGATACACCCACCGTGCAGCTCGGACAGATTCGCAACGTCTGAAGCACGAAGAGGCATTGGCTTGGTGGGATTTGTTCCCAAATTACACCCCAGAACCCAGCTTGTGGATGAACAACCCGAGCTGGGGAGCACATCGAGCGCCGAAGTGACACACGCTCACTCGCGAAGCCACGTGGGCAGCACATCGAATGTCACTGAAAGCAACATCGCATGCAACAGTCTTGAAAATGCCGCTTGTCTGCGAATACGACAAACTTGCTTTCCCATACCTTCAGGTTTGGTTCATGTAGGCACGGATGTCGCACCTTTCTTACTGCTTCAGGTTCTTACGACATGCGCAAGCACCAGAAAAGACGGCGAACGCACGACCACGAAAACGGCGCACATTCGACCACACTTGCTTTCCAGGGCCGGCTGGCAGAAGTGACAATGACATGAAGAGGACGGAGCCGAAACAGGGCACCCTCACGAAAAACTTCGGAATTCCACGTTTCCGCAAGTCTTGATGTGAGTTTGCGCATTCCGCTGGTTCCCAGTAACGGCGCGTGCATTCCAGCGCTCTCCCCCCGATCTCGCGAACTATGAATGAGATGTCCCGGCGGCGACATGTGGCAGGCCTAGGGTCTTTAATCGTAGCTTCCACCTGGCGGCCATGGGAACCAGCCGTTCCGATCTCGAAGGCATTCTTTGGCATGGTCGTAGAGATGCAGGTTGGCTCCTGTTGTGCCATATGCTGGGCTGCCCGCGCTGCACTCACTCAGGCTCTGAACCTCTGAAAGCCCAAAAGCACCTAAGACCTGGACGGCAAGTCTTCTTCTAAATTTCCAACGCTCACAGCTCTAACAACAAGTGCTCGGCTGAGGCTGGCTCCGCTGCCCCAGCGCAGAAAGCAAAAGCATTGCCAAATCTCCGGCTGCTGCGCGATGCCTTGGTCTGTTGCAAGATGGGCGGCGAAGGGACACAGATTCTTAAGGTCCAGAGTGCGAGATGTGGACAGTGGCTTGGGATGTCACTCTAAGCCGGTATCCACGTTTTTTGTCATTTTGTGCGTGCAGCAGCGAAACAGTCTACGACCCTGAAGCACTAAACCATGCCTTCTTGGCATTTTGGTATCGAGGGGAGGGCACGTGCAAGGGCACGACAAGTGTTCAGCCTTCTGCGGCCTATTTTCAAGTAGCCGACAGCAATCGTCAAGCAACCGGCACCCAAACAAGAGCCCTCAAAAAAAGAGATGAAAGCCTCAGTGATCAGCACAGAGGTGCTCTTGGCACTTCGGCTCCCTGCCAGGAGGCGGAGCACTGCCTCCGGATGCCTCACGCTGCACCCAAAGAAGTTTCAACATCTTTTCTGGGCACTTCGAAGAAGTCTTCCACTAGGATTCGGGGCGCGCATGACCCCATCAGTGCTTTGCACTGATAAACCTACAGCTTTTTCGAGAAGACACTCTGAGACTCTAAGCAGGAGGGTTTGCCGCTGGCGTGGCCGGCGAATTCCTGTGGTGTTTTGTGGGGCTACCTCGCAGTGGCTACCTCGGGCGCAATGACAGCGTACAGTGTACGATTATGAGGAGGGCCCGGGGGACTGGTTCCTAAAAAAGCGTTCAGCACTGCCGGATGGCGAGGTCCCCGAGTGTTACACTGCTTGAAACAAAGTGCGGCTCTGGTGCAAGAATTGGCAAACCTCAGCTGCTGGCTGGGTCTTTGAAACTCTTCGAGGTGCAGAAGAAGCAGAAGAAGAAGAAGAAGAAGAAGCCGGCTTATAAACTACAGGTTTACGGGACGCTGTTTCGGGGCAGAGCTCGGAAAGGCCGGAAACTGAAGGGGGGGGTCTCCATGAGCAGTCCAGGCAGCCAGGGCAGCAATATCCTGAGGAAAGTCCACCAGTTTCGGAACCGTGGGGGTCATGCCTCTCTTGCGACGCCACGCCCCCCAAGGCTTTTGTAGCTCCGACTTGAGCCACAGCTGCAGCAACCGACCCTCCGTTGGTTCCGGAAGGCACAAAGAAAACCCTTGCTCAAACAAGGAAGGAATTCATCAACATGAGCGCAATCACCCCTCATAATCCTCTTGTTTTGTTCCAAGATACTCCCTAGCAGCCTCTGCGACGCATGTAAAGCTGGATGACATCCAGCGAAAATGAATATGCGAAGGTGAAACTGGCGAAATCTCCTCGTAACTTTGTTCTGGCACAAGCTATGCGCCCAAAAGAAACTGCGAGCTGATACCCAATACAATGCGCAGGAATTCGCATACCAGAAATGAAATCGCCACCCTCTACTTCCGAGTAGGATGCAAGGTTGAGCCTGCTGCTGCGAGAATGAATACGTAAGGACTGAGGACAATGAAGCATTCGGGCATAAACCTTAAGCCTGCGAGCTCACATACCCCTTTTGTTGCCCTACCAACGACAGAAGCTACCAGCAGTTTGCGCAATTTTCTTCCTGTTTCTCAAACCCCTCCCTTGGAATGATGCCGGGCCGGCCCAGGGACGGCAAAATCCCTCTTTGCAGGGCTCTCCTCGCAGCCGGGCTTCGCTTGTGTGCGGTTTCCATCCTCAAGTCTCCGGAGATTGACTGCAAAATGATGCAAATGCCTTCAAACGGCATTTTCTGCACACAGGGCTTGGAAGCTTTGGGTTCTTTAACGCTTCAGGTCAATGGGGGCTTGAGGCCAATGGGGGCTTAGAGGCCCCCTCAAAGTAGTTGGCTTTTGCAGCGCCTGGATAACCCCGTCGATGATCTTGTCAATGCGGGCGTGCACGTCGGGCCTCAAAGAACAATGAGCGGTGCTGGTGAATGCTGGTGGCCTGCCACCACTCATACGACGCAGCCGTCGAAAAAGTTTCGGCGCTGCACTTGACGAGTACATATAAAAAAGGAACCCTGTTCCCGACGTCCTCACCGGCCCGTTCAGTCCCGCCGCCCACCGGTCCTGTACCGTGGCGTCCCGCCGCCCAATCCCACACCGCACAGGGTCCCCTCCGTCCCGTACCGTTCGCACCCGCAGGGTCCGAAACCGTCCGGCCACCAAGGCTCGTTCATCCTGTTCCGTCCCGCACTGTACCGTGCCGTACCGTCCGTCATCGTCCCGTCCCGCCCAAGCTTGCACCCCGCAGGCCCCCCCCGTCCCGTATACCGTCGCAGCCAGCAGGGTCCCCGCGTCACGTACCATCCCCTGGGTCACCACCACGAATCCTCACCGAGCCCCCCGCTTGGCACTCCTCATTCCGAACAATCAAAAGGCACTCCACCGGGACGGCCTCAACCAATCTTCCCGTTTCTCCAACTCTTCATGGTTCACTGGCGGAGGGAACAGTTTGATGTCTCAACCAATTCCTCTCACTCCGAAGCCCATTCTCTCTCGCTCCTCTGGATTCCAGAAAAGGGAGCCGAAGCGCCACCACGGAAATCGTATGTCAATTCGGGTACCTAGTACCGACCAACGCTTTGATCACGGTCGAGCTGTTCTCCCAGAAACGATCCACGGCACAGAGTCTGAGTCTAGGGTCAATCCCTTCTGGCAACTCTGCGCAGCCGTGCCTTGATCCAGTCTTGAGCCAAAAGTATACAGCATTCATTCAGCGAGGTGTGATTTCACAAACGGACCGGAGGAGCACTGGATCGCAGGACCAGGAACCAACAGAGACCGGGTTCCCCCTCCCCACAAGAGAAAGGGAGCCAAAAGAGATAGTAGAAAAGGGCGCCTCCATTTATCAGTACTGCGTAATTGAATACCAGCAAATGGCAATGAGGCTTGAAATTGAAATTCGTAAAAGTGAAATTAAAATAGTAAGTAGGAATGATGAGTAATTAGCAAGTGGCGTTTTGTAATTCTTAGTTCGCAGTTCGTTGTTCGTCGTCGCACGAATAATCATCTTCATAAGAATAACTGCCATCGCGATCATCATTGCAAGTAGCTTTGGTACGAGCACTAGGAGGAATGGAAGAAAGCAGCTGCAGTAGTGGTGCGGCAGACAGTAATCTCAGTAGCTGAAACAGCACTAAATTGTCATGAATTTGGTCTACTGCAGTACAAGACAACAGGAATGCTGAGACTGAGCACGGCAACGGCCAGACGAAGACAGAAGGGGTGAAGCTTGCTAAGAGACCGTCAGACCGTAAGCTCAAGTCCTCACTGATTCTCTGAGATTCTTTGCACGACACACCAGTGTTCCACCCCTACTACATTAATCCTTATTTCAACACAGACAGTTGCACAACAGAAGGGTGTGGGTCCTGGGGTGGGGTGTACCTTTCTCGTCACTAGTTCTGGCATGTCATGGTCACAATAGTGTGAGATAGCGTGACAGAAACCGAATCTTCTGATTCAGTCTTCCCACAAAAGCCACTCCTGAGTCCGAGGCGGTACACGAAAGGTAGTCAGGAAACGGAGGGCAAAGAGATCCCGTGGCTCGCAGGCCACACTGCCTTGACACACCCAAGCGAAAGAGCCGGAATGGACAGTCCATCTCTCTCCGTATTGACTAAGTATGCTTCAGCTGCCGTGCAAGGATTTTCTTCCGCAGTCTCAAAACCAGGAATTCTGTTCGTTCTAAAGCTCCCGTGACACACTCCGTGGCCACGAGGTGTTTTGCTCAATGTTGTGCGCATGCTTTATTCTTAGGCTTGGCACTTCATTCGCTCACAGGACCAGTACAGACATTCCAAGAGCAAGAGTGTCTTGGGCTTTGTGGTAAGTTTAAAGAGAGAGGGAGAGAGAGAGTGAGAGCGAGAGAGGGAGAGAGAGGGAGAGAGAGGGAGAGAGAGGGAGAGAGAGGGAGAGAGAGGGAGAGAGAGGGAGAGAGAGGGAGAGAGAGGGAGAGAGAGAGAGAGAGGGAGAGAGAGGGAGAGAGAGGGAGAGAGAGGGAGAGAGAGGGAGAGAGAAGAGAGAGAGAGACAGCGAGAGAGCGAGAGAGCGAGAGAACGAGAGAGCGAGAGAGCGAGAGAACGAGAGAGCGAGAGAGTGAGGGAGCGAGAGAGCGAGAAAGCGAGCGAGCGAGAGAACGAGAGAGCGAGAGAACGAGAGAACGAGAGCGAGAGAAAGAGAGAAAGACAGAAAGAGAGAGAGAAACAAAGAGAGAGAGAGAGAGAGCGAGCCAGAGAGAGAGAGAGAGAGAGGTGACCTGGCATGCGATTCCACAGCAGGGGCATGGACAGTTAGACCAAAATTTGAGAGTTAGGGTCTGGAGGCGTGGCAAGTGATGAGCGGGGCTGTGGAACACGAGTGGCACGAAAAAACCCTCAACTGACGGGCGAACCGAACGCGAGAATGGTCGAGCGTGTGCACGGCGGTCATCAAGGCAGCACAGATAAGCACACCGATTATGAAGGGCCTCTCTTGGCCCGTAAGGAATGCTCGTGACTTCTGAGCCGCGCTGAGACAAATGATCACTTTCTGCAACTTATACTGGAAACATCGTCAATCATAAGCTCTGTCCTGGTCTTTGTTCTCCCCCTACCCGTTTTTCAAACATTGGCTTCGCGCTTTCACGACCAACCCATTACCAATGCACAGAGGAGGAAAGACACAGCCGATGCAGAACATCTTGAGGACCTGGCCTCGGGCAAGGGCCTAAGGCACCACAGAGGAGAGCTTCTGTGCACACACCCTACTATACTGAACTAAATTTTATGCTGTTTCTTAGGAATTATAGTACCCAAAAATTAAAAACTATTTCCAAGTACTCCTAAGTGTAGTGGCCGAGGATGGTTTCTGGGGCGCCGTTTTCAGGGGGTGGGGGCCTAGGCATGGTTAGGTTGTAAGGACCTACGATGTGGCCCGTGTGGTTTTGTTGGCACCCACATAGCCGGCTCTCTGCGTGCATTCCTGTGTGGTTTGGGGGTGGTGGGTTGAAGAATGGGTTGTCTGGTCTGGCCACATCCTAACCAGGATGAAGAAACAAAGTTAAGATCAGGTCAGGCTAAGGCACAAAGTAGGCCCAAAACCCCATGCGTTGCCATGCATGCGCAACACTGCCCACACAACGCATCTCAGGGACTGACGCTGGCACGAAGCACCTGGTAAGCGGACATCACGTCACGAAGCGTGCTGGCTGTGTGCCAGGGGGTTGAATCGGGTTGAAATTGCCCCCCAGCGGGGTCGACCATCAGGGTTGGCAGGCTGGCATGTCAACGGAAACAAGACGGATCAGGAGATGGGTAGGGTAAGACAAAGACTAGGCCCCTAGCTCAAAGTGGGTCGAGTCAGGCGTAAAGCTACAACACGATGCAAATGCAAACTCTCGAATGACAGATCGAGCAAGTTGGAGCTCTGCCTGGGTCGGTCGACCGACGGTGGCATCCGAAGCTCTCAAACGTAGAGAAAGTCGGGGCTGTTGCCACGAACATCTATTGAACAAGTGTTGAAAACACGACGGACCTTTGTTTGGGCCAGATTGCGTGTGTAGTTGAGGATAAGTGGCGTATGTACGGGCTCACAGCCTGAGGCTTGTTGATGGCGATTTGCTACCACCAAGCAAGGGGGGGGGGGGGTACGAGTTAGTTACCTCAAGTCAGCTTAGGGAACTGATTGCACCGACCTGAAGGCGCCTGATGCCACATACGTGGTTTTTTGTATGTTCTAAACATCCTACGCCGGGTTGTTCGGGTTTGGGGCCCGCTAAAGCTTAGGACGTTGCATCTGGAGTTTTTGAACCTTGTGCAATTTGTCTTCCATGCTGCCATTGCTCGTTCGAATAGCAGCAGCGGGTATTCGATTCGATTTGTGAGAAACCGCGTTGCCAGAAAGTAATGCATCACACTGCGGGCTCTACGACAAACCGTACATTGCTGGCCATACGCGCCCACAGCCTGTTAACAACCCTCCTCAACATCTGAGGCTACTGGGTCGACGGCGCGGACAGCCTTTACCAAGAAGGTCCGGTCGGACCTCAGCACTTCACAGAACTAGTTGGCGCACGTAAACTCCTGCGTGCCAAGCCAAGGCGAACACCTCTTGTCGGGCAGGATTATGGCACACGATTACAAGTGGGCGCAAGAAGGCGTACCATTGCTGGAAATCAGGCTCGAGGCAGAACAAGACTGGTTTAACTTCTCGGGAGGCTTCGGCAAGGCCCGGATTGAAGCCACGGGCGAGATGGCGCATCCTCAGGCCAAGCTGCTGTTCAGGATGTGCGCCTAGTGCTCAGCCGCAAAGCACGTCCACTCCGGAGGACGTGGGTGGAAGCTGGCACGACACAGATGGGCAGAGCCAATGCATGGCTCAGGCGTTCAAAGCACTGCTTCTTCGGTGGCGGAGACATCTTGGAGTCCACCGTGAGTGGAGGACGAGATGGTCGACCAGGCTTTCGGCACGCTTGGCGAATGAGTAGAATGACCTCCGGCTCAAAGTGCCTCATGCGCGACGGCTAATAATTAGCCGCAAATTATGTCTTGCTTCTTCTCTTTCTTCCCTCTGTTTTCCTCCTGTCTTTCCGTAGGCCTCGCTCGGGACCGAAGGCCCCCTTCTCACCCCCCCCTTCCGTTCTTTTCTTCTTCTTCTCCTCCAGGGTCCGGACGGGGTCACCTCCCTCGTGCCGGGGCAGGGCAACACAATGCTTGGATGCGGGAATGGAAACGGTTGGTATAGGTCTTGAACTATTCTTCATGACTTCACGACCATCCTTCCTCCCTCCCTCCCCCCCTCCCTCCCCCCTTCCTTCCCCTCCCTCCCTCCCTCCCCTTCCTGGGTTCCTCCCTTCCTCCCTTCATTCTTTCTCTTTCCTTTTGTTTTTGCTTCTATTCCTGCATTTTGTGCCGCCATCTGTTCAGCCGGAGATGGCGGGCGCACTTGCCAAAGAACAATCAGATCCAGGCTTCCCCAGCACGGGCGGAAACAGTTGTCGATATGCAGTGTGCAGACTCAAGCGTCTCGTCAAAACAGAACCCTTCAAAACAACCCAGGCCCTTGTGCCCTTGTGCCAAACCAGCATGTGCGATCGCTATCTGGAGCCGGGCGCCGGACAGCTCGATGTGGGGACTTCCGATCCTGCTCTCGGAGTCTTCACTGCTGTGGGACGCAACAATTCTTCTTGAGGTTTTGGGAAACGGGTTTGAATTTAGCACATGATTCATTTTCGGTTGCCCAAAAGACAACGGGATGTCTCCTTTATCGGGATAAACAGAAGAGGTGCCGTCCTAGGCTCGCCGGTCGCGCGTTTTGGCTTGTGCTTCAGGTTCTGCATTTTAAAGCTCCCTCATCGATGTCCTACCTACATCCATGGCTAACACCACCTGGGTAGAAGAGACGTATTGTGAACTGAGGCCTGCGGCAATGCACGTTTCCACGGCTTCTCGAGTCTACGTCCGAAGAGCCGGAGGCTAGTCGCCCACTTAACTTCTCTGAACTTCTCTTTCTGACCTTCACCCACAGGCCTGCGACACTCTGCCACCAAAGCTTGCACCTGGCTGCCCAGAATTCAGGAATCGCCATTTGGAAGGAACGGGCTAAAGGGTTCAGCTTCACAAGGCATGTTGTGGATTAGCAAGAAAGCCACCACGGCAACACCGGAGCAGATTCCACCGAGCCTACCAAGTCTCCAACGCCACAACACGACCCTGCAAACCACCTCGAACATCTCGAACAACATTAGATGCGCAAGCAATTGCATATCAGGAAAGGGTTTTGTGTCGTGGTTTTGTTGGGCTCCTTGCGCAGATTGTATCGGGCTTTTCTTCTGCTTCAGACTTCAGGTCCAGGCCATCATTTAGGCCCAGGTTTCTTCCCGCATGTGGTTTAGGTAGGCTTAGGTCTGCAACTTTAGCTGGAGCTGCTGCAAACCTGCCGGGATGTCTGTCTAAACTCAACTCTGGAAAACCAGCATTCTCCAAGCGCCGTGACTAGCAGCATTCCTCGATGCTGTCGCAGCTCGTACACAAACTTGACATTCAGTACGGCGTAAACTGCAGACTTCGCGCAAGGGGACCAAAGAGAACCACAACAGAAGACCACAGGGGACCGCAGAGCCAGGGCTGACCGAGAGAAGAACGCAACTCAAGCCCAAAGAAAGCCAAAGCACCCCTTCCGAACTCGTGAACGTCAGACCTCTTGGCACTCTCCAGAACCCTAACGCCCCGAAAGCCCCAAAGTAAAACAGTCATCTGGCACCAGACGCAGCAGCAAGCGGCGCATCTCAGCGGGCACCGTGATGGCATCCAGGCTAACTCGGGGTCGGAGAGAAGGGGCTTTCAAAAAGTGTTCTCACGTGTGAACAGTGTGGAGCCCGCCGGGAGGTTGGGGAGGGAAGCATTCGGCTCTTGCCAGGATCGGGCTTCAAAATGTTTAAAAGCCATGAGGCATCTGGCCTCTCGCATCCGCTGGCATTCGCTTCTGAACCCGAAGCCAAACCGAACAATGGGGTCGCTGCCTTCTTGCAAAGACTGCAGCAATGGCATCTGATCTTGCGGCTCCGCCGTCAGACCTTATCACACAGCACTGCTACTCCGATATTAACCTTTCGGTGCCCTTTTGATCACTCCGAACTTTTTGACACACAGATGCCATCCAAAAGCACTCCGATACTAAGGGCCACGCTCATGATCTGGCGAGCTTCGTCCCACTGCTTGCCGACTTAGCTCCGGGCTGAAGACCATATTACGAAACCACTCACCCCAAACCCCCTCCAAAGCCTCAAGACTCAACCCACTTTTCAACGAGGGCTCTCTCAAGGACGCCCCTTTTGCAGCAGGACTCCTCACCGCTGGGCTCCCTGAGGTGCCGACGCCGAACCGTCACTGACTCGAGACCCGTAAATCCTCGCCGCCAAACCCGAAACCCTAAACTTCCCTAAACCTTTTTAACTGAAACAGGGCTGAGAGGCGAAGGCAGCCCTCCAGGCGCAGCTGCATGGCGAAGCGGTCGGATAAGGCCGGGTCCAGTGGATCGGCCTCAGCACTTCGTAGCATCTTGAATCTTGAATGGATTTAGACGCCCCTCTTCTCGCTCCACTTTGTAAGAAATCTGGACGCAATACTTTCCAAACAGGGCTCTTTTCATGGCCCACAAAGTTAATATCGGTCGTCGACAAGCCCTTGACAATGGCGAACAACACGAGATCAGCCGCCTTCTACCTCAACAACACGTCAATGTGAGTAATGATGGAGTTTTCGAAATATACACCGACTTGTGCAAAGGGTACCGGTCAGAAACCCCCTGATAACTTGCGGAGCAGCCGGACTCCCAATGCAGGCACATGCCGCACCATAAGTAACTTTGCCGTTGCACCGCAGCATATTCTTTGCACAACAGTACTCCGGGTCGTAGAGTCGAGACGAGCCCGACATTGGGCCCAACATGGGCCATCCACTCCAGACAGCAATCACATTGGAAACATAGATGAAAGTTACTTCATCACGGAATCTTGCCCTGAAAAACTAAGCACACCTGCAATAGACAAGCACCAGACTTCATGAAATGGCCCTTTTCTTTCGCACCACATCTCCTCTTGCATCACAAACGTGACACCTATGTAACAACCCAAACGCCTACAGTGACTCCAGCCCCTGCACTCTCGGGTTTTTTGCCTTGCTTTTACCGCGTCTTCTGCCTCTTGGCGGAGCTGCCGTCAGCAGATTCGGCCTTACAGTGTTTGCTGTGTGCTTGGGACATCAGAAACCTTAGAGCTCCGAGGCCCCCCAAAACCTACGATCTTAGACCCTGCCGAAGGCCCATGTCCTGGAGGCAAAAAACACCCACAAACTGGAGCCAGTTTGCCCTGGGGGCTGCACAGTTGAGCCTTCGGCTTCATGCACGATTCCTCAGACGTAAACACATTGGGTGGGGGAGAAGGAAACCCCAAACCGGATCTCCCACTTCATGGCAACTTCATATTTTTAAGGGCCAACTCAGAACAAACAAAGTTGTAACAGCTTACAACAACCAACAAACGACACACAACACCAGCGCCGCAATCACAACCACCACAACCACCGCAACCACCACGTAATTCAATCGGGGGACGCCGCGGACGAACCGCGCATGGCGAGTGCTTGGCGCTAGTGGGACATGGAGCACACTTGACCACAGTCCTAGTCCTGGGGCGAGCCTAAGGAGCTTCACCACCCTCGTAAGTAAACCCTAAATAAAATATTCAAATGAGCACTAATGACATCATTCAAATTAGCACTAATGACATAATTATAACCATAAACCAAACACCTGATTTACTTATTTCTTGACTTCTATTATTTTGAAATATTTGCTGATGAACCAGATTTTTTTATGAACTGCGTTTAAATGAAATATCATAATACTGTAGGAAGGAGCCCACGTCGACTCAATTTGGCCACCACTGAAGATGCTGTGAAAATCAGAGATGCGGATCATGCTCTGCCAAGAGCCACAAAGCACCGTGCCGTATGCCGCTGCGCTGTCGGACATCAGGACAACGCGGCTGTCCTAGTCTGAAAGTGCAGCGCGGGTGGCAGTCCGCTTGGCTGCGCTCAGGGGTGGCACTCGGGGCTCGCCAACGCTTGACACGACCGGAACTGGCTCCTATCCTCCGCTTCCAAATCGGTCCATGTGGCAGGTCCCCCGCCACACACATCCAGCAACATGCTGCTGCGATTGACACTCACCTTGCATCCAAAAGAGCGGCAAGGGTAGCACACTGCGTCGCGCGTGAACAGCACGTTGTGCTCCGCTGCCTCAAACAGCGGGCCAACTGTCCCCACCGCGCAGGACAATGGAACTTATGAAACATGATAAGACTCATCTGGGCCAAGGGAATAAAAATATCTCTCTCCGGCACATAGCACTGCGCTGAGCAACTTGTGTGCACTTCAGGCGGTTCTTCTGAAGAGCTAGAGCCTTCATGTTACGCACTTGGCGGTGGGACACGATTGCCACCGCTTGCCAGAGCGACTCTCGGTCGAGCCGCATTTCAGGCAGCGCGACAGCTGAGTAACGGCTCGTCGCAGGTGCGGCGAAGGCATCTGTGCTGCCTGAAGCTTCCGCAGCCTTTGGACTTCTGCAGGGGTTGCCTTGTTGGGGTCAACCTTGGACTTGGCCCAGCACCTTCTTGCCGCAGTCTTCTCCTTCACCGGCAAGTCAGCTGAAAGTCCTGCATAGTTTTTATTTGCAGTTAGTTCTCATGTTGTTAAGAAAGAAAGAAAGAAAGAAAGAAAGAAAGAAAGAAAGAAAGAAAGAAAGAAAGAAAGAAAGAAAGAAAGAAAGAAAGAAAGAAAGAAAGAAAGAAAGAAAGAAAGAAAGAAAGAAAGAAAGAAAGGAAGGAAGGAAGGAAGGAAGAAAGAAAGAAAAGAAAGAAAGAAAGACAATACCCTAAACCTTTATTCTTCTTGCTCCTTTCTTCACTTCAACCCGACGACTCCTTCCAGGAGTCCGGACCCAGCAAGGGCCTGCTGGAAGACTGGGCGGCCCGCGTGCGACACGACGAGGTGCCGCAAAGTCGCCTGGGGGTCCCTGGAGTTAGGAAGCTTTCCCCTCGCCTGTCAAAATCCGCACCTCATTTCCTGGCGCGCGCGCTTCACGCTTCACGCAGGCACATGGTCTGGCGCAGTACTTTGCGCGAGCTCCCCGGCACCTGCATGGACATCGGTGAAGCCTTTCGGCGGCCCCATAATTCCAGCGAAGCACTATGGCCGGCTTTCCAGCCGGTCATCCGCAACGCCCGCGCCAAAATTCACCCAACTTGAACACGAGCTTAAATTCCAATGTTTGAGGAGAGATAACACTCATGAACCTTCACAAATCCCCAAGCCCCACCCCGAAGAAGGGAAACTACTGTCTAGGAAATCCTAAGCCCTTAAAGGACCTGGCTAAGCAAGAGAAGGCAGAAAGAAAATTGGTGGCCTAGAGGCTGTAGCAGACTTCGGAATACAGAGTAAGAGCAGACAAGGCCCATTTTCGGCACTCTGGCGGTCTATAAGGGTCTATCAAGGCCATCAACAAATGCAGAACGCCGGTCACTTCCTCGGAAAGCAAAGCCTCACTTGGCATCCCCTGGCTGCAGGGCTGTGCCCCGGTTGCTCGCATTTCGCGGGCGCAGGCACAACGGGAACGCGAGGCTAATTACGGCCGCAGTGAAAGCCACAGCCGATCAGAATTAGTACTTACTGCGAGGCCATGGACCCTGAAGCTGAAGGGCAGCAATGGATGCAGACTTTGTTTGGTACACCAGGCATTTCAATCAGCATCTGCATTCCTTTGCACGGCCTAAATTCAATCAGCATCTACTCTCTACAGGTTGAAGGTTTCCAACCTTTTATGGTCTAGTGTCTCCAGCCACAACCTCTCCGTTGAGCCTTTGAGTGCTGAGAGTTTCCTAGGAGGAGTGGACCAGAACACCAGGGGGCCAAGGGACCTTGCGACCAGAGGACTCCGCTTCAGCTACACTCTTGGACCTCTCGCCAGCCCCTCCTCGCAGATTGCCTCGCGAAGAATTTCCAGAACTACCACACCTGGCACATCCCCGTCGTGCGGGGTTTGCAAGGTCTGCAAGGCTCTGCATGCCTTCTGGCGTCTTCAATCTGTGATGTCCTTGCCTTGTCTTCGGGCTCCGATGTGGCCGATATGACATCCTCAGAGCATACTCCAGGTCTCATAGAAGACATCTGGAACAGTCCCGCGTCTTTGTTCACGATATCGTGCAGCAACGCGGGCAGACGCTTGAGTTTAGCGGGCTCGAGGTGAACCGTGTAGGTGCGGAAGTCAAATTGCCAGCCGATCCAGGTCATAGGGGTCGATAGTTTGGCTTTGTGCCAGCTCATGGGCAAGTTGAGAACCTGAAGCAAGACCACCAAAATGGAGGCAAGCAGGGCTATAGGCTAGGCTTCCAAAACAAAGCCAGTACCGGCTTGCAGGGTCCTGTAGGGTTGTGAGCCGATATTGGTGGTGTACTCCAAAAAAACCCAGCATGAATAAAGATGTGGAAAAATAGGCGCAAAAAGGCCTGAAAAGGTAATAAAAAAGGTACCGGGGCCGCCCTGACTTGTTTTTGACCTTTCGCGGTCACCTTTTTCTTAGGCCAGCCGGGATCTGCCGGGATCCAGGCTTTTAGAAGGGAAATGGAAAACAAAAACTTTAAAACAGAAAAGTAAAACGAATGTAAAACGAGGCAGAAAAAGAGGTAACACGAAGGCAAAAAAGGTGAGGGCGGCCCTGACGCCACCGTCCCGCAAATTCGCGCGCCCGCTCTTCAAAAGACATTAGACAGGACCGCAGTCTACGAGCCGCAGCAGCAGCACCATAACAGAAACAACAACAGCTGCAAAACAATCAACAACCAGAACCACCAGAAGCATCAAGAACCCACGTGAAAGAAGCGTGCAAGAAACGAACAGACAACGACCAACAACCAACACCCAACAACACCACAACCTGCACCAAAAACAAAACTAAAACCAGTAAGCAAGCAACTCAAACCGACAATATCAACGACCCTTTCTTTCAGAACAACACCGCTAGAAGAGCTAGAAGAGCTCACAGAACACACATCCAGCAGTCTGCCAAAGCCAAAAAAAGAGCTCAGATGAAACACTGCACGGTCCTGCGTCTTCCGGCTGTCTCTTGGAGCCGCCTCTGGGGTCGGCGGAGGTCTGTGGATGTCTAAGCCCTAAGCCCTAAGCCCTCAACCCTAAACCCTAAACCCTAAACCCTAGACCCTAAACCCTCGCAACCAGGCCTCTGTAGGTCGCCGGGTGCCCTAAACCCCCAAACTTGGGGAATGTGTCCCACTGAAACTGAGGCAGTTCTTGATGGGGATTCTCATAGGGGGGGGGGGGGGGTGTACTCTAATCCCTATTAGGGCCTGTTCGTATAAGGAGAAGATCCCAAACCCCTGAACCCTAAAACCCTCTGGCATCTCAGGGTCTTTGGGGGCCTCTTAGGCGTCTTCGTGGTCGATGAGGAGATCGATTCGGGGGTTGTGTATGCTTCGGGGTCTACGGCTTTCTGTTGCCCCCCGCCCACCCCCCTCCCCCCGCCCACCCCCCCACCCCAATGTAATAACTCCAAAGGTCTGTGTTTAAACATAACCTTTCCAGGAGTCCCACAGACACATCACTTGGAGCAGCTATACTGGGATTGACAGTGCTGCCAGTGGCCGTACAGTATATCTTTCTCCGCAAGCCCGGCGAGGAGCCACAAAGCAACAGGTCTTGCTTCGCACCAAAATCCCAAGTTTGGGGTTTCCGGTCTGGAAGCTCCTGCATATCACGTCAAACTCTTAAACAGAATTGAGGAGGGAGCAGCAGTCGACTGCAAGGCTCTTGCTTTTTGCATGTCGCACCGCAGCTCAGTGGTCCTCGCGCAGCGTTGCAGTCTGACCAAATGTCTGAGCCGCTGTCGCTGCCGCAAAGCCAATTTGTGCTAACCAGGTGCTCACAGTCGCAAGCCTATTGCCACGCGAAGCTGAGAGCTCTCACCACAGCATTTTTATTCGTCCCGGAGCTCGGAGCCACAGGCATGAGAAGCTGCCGGCTGCGAAGCAGCCTCCCGCTGGCGGAACACCAAGCAAGCGCCGACCTCGGGCTTTTTTGCGCTAACTTTTACGACTGCGCACACCATCTGTCGCAATGCTTCGACGACAACACGTCCTCCCACAAATCTAAACAAACTGTCAGAATGCTAGCTAACGATGAGTGGCAGCTGCCGGAAGTAGGTTGACATAAAATGGAAGGTAGCGTCCCAGACGAAGGCTCCCTGTCTCCTCGGCTGGGTGAGAGTCTGGCAGAGGGTGGAAGAGGAGGCATACTACCCCTAAAGACATGCAAAGTGCAAACCTTTGCTTAATGTGGGCCTAGTCTCAAGGGAGCAGCCTAGGTGCACCAAAGCACCGGCAATCTCAGGGCCCACGCCACGTGAGAGGGCATTCAGAGAGCAGCTCCAGCCGTTGACCACAGCCCGATTGCGTGCCGTGAATTCCTTGTTGAGCAGCACGGCGCAAAGTGGGACAGCAGTGCCAAATCCAAGTTGGTTAAGGGCCTGCCACACCGTAATGGGTACCAGGCGCCACGCCTGGGATGGTGTCGAATCTGTCCTGAGTCGACTGCGTCAGAGTTCCCGCAGGTACACCCCTTCTAACCGTACAGAACCACGGACTGACGGCAATGCCGGGAAAGCCAGGTCCGCCGCGTTGACAGCGCAAGCCGGTGCATGTCAAAAACCCTCAACCCCTAAGCCGGGATGGAGGCCGGTTTCGGGCGCCTACGACTCCTCTCACGCTTGTCTTCTTGAATGGCAGTAAAGTCGTCCGTGAATGAGTAAGTCGGCAGAGACAGACTCCGGACAGCCCGGACGCGGCCGAGGGCTCAGTAGTTAGTGAGTTTCTGCACAAGTTATGCACCAGCAGATGCGAAAGGACGATGAACGAATGCAGCCAAATGAGCCATGCATTGACATGCATCCCTCACAGCCGTGAAGCAGGTTCACCAGTCATCCGATATTCCTGCCAACGGCAAAAACGTTAAAAAGGCACACACCCGGAGAAGGCAGCAGTTTGGATTCGAGAATGCTCCCGCCACAGCCCCGTGTGCGCCTTGCTAAGAACCGCGGCAGCCTCGTTACTTTTGGGTCTTTGCAGGGTCCGGAGCTCCGGTGGCTCGAAGATCTACGTTCGTAGCACAACCCTAGCACGGGTGCACATGCAGTTGTGGTCTTCCATTGTTGGCTTCTACCTCTTGACAGCATATGACACTGATATCGTATCGACTCATACTTCTGTTACTTCTGTTGAAGCCAAAGAGCGAACACACGCGTGATCGCGCAACTAGGTTCTTTGCTCGCTGTAAGGCTTATCTACCTGCATACTGTTCGGGTGTGTAAACGCCGGCTGTTCAGACTGCTTTGGTTGACTGCATAGATGCACTGGCATGAATCATACTGCGGCTGCTGAGTTCAACTGCTCCAAACAGCCACAGGACAACAAAACACAAGTGCCAAGTCCACTTGCGCCGCATGCTATTGCCTGCCTTTTTTATCACTTCCAAAGTAGCTGACGCTTTAAAGTTGATGGAATGAAGAGAGAGAACTGCAATGCTTGCTCGAACTTCTGTACTAGTTAGACTCCATGTAGGCCTCCCAGACTCCGAAGCAATGACGGAAAGGCTGCAACACCCACTTCTAATGACAAACACAAACAGCCAACCCATTTCTCCCCTGCAGCTGTTCAACCTAAGAGTGTCTGGTGCGGCTTCCCGATTCGCTGGGGTGCAACCGAGGGTCATAAAAACGAGAGGCACGGGCAAAGTGAGGATGATGGTCCAAAGCAGCCCGATGCTACAGCTGATGTGGGGCCCGAACTTCTTCACCAAGCAACGGTAAAACGTCACCTAGCCCAGGGCTTCAGGGCATTTCAGGGCAGATGAAAGGTGCGTCCCGAAGGCTTATTATGAGTGCGAAAGGTGTGACAGGGAGATTCCGGAAGGTTAGACAGGCGGTTGGGGTCCCGAGGCCGGGTTCCTTGTCAAGAGAGTTCCTGTCACGTAGAAAGACTCATGATGGTACGGTTTCTAGACCTGATCATACGGTAAGACAAGGGTGTGAACGGCTAGACCAAGATATGAGAGTTAGGGTCTCAAGGGCGGATTCATGGGCAAGACTGACAGGTGGGATGGATTCCAGAGTGAAGAGAGAGCCGTGTGATGAACCGATACATAGTATGGTATCAGATGTAGTTAGGGCCCATGAGGACCAACCGGGCCGAAGTCTAGGATACTTTGGCTATGGTCTGCGTTCATGGCTTCACATCCAGGGAGGCTAGACGGGCAGCATCTGAAGGCAGCTACTACAACAGACTCGCGGTGTAGCTTAGCGTCTAGGGTTAGGGAAGCCTGGTTCAGTGCCAGTGCAAGGGCAGCAAAAGTCTGGATGTATGCGATCTGATGAGACGACAGCCCGAGTCCTCGCATACTCCTCGGCTGTTTCTAAAGTCACCTTGGGGTTTCGGATGGACAAACACACAGACACATGCCACACTTGCAACATCTCGCAACCGCCACGTCTACTCCAAGGTTCCCAGGCAAGGATGACACGAGCACGAAGGAGTTCATGCGAGCAGCCACATAGCCATACATCAAGCTGCTCGTGATCAACAGCTGCCACAACCGGCGGCCTTGCGGGAACCTTGACGTGCGCCTTGCGTCTGCGTCCGCTGGAAGGAATGACTCGCCCTCCCGTGGCCTGCGGGTCTCTTTCAAGGCTGCAAGACCCAGTATGAAGACACAGACCACCAGGCAAGAGAATATCAGGTTGGACAGCAAGAAGGGGTGGCGCTCGAAGATGGTGGACTCAAAGAGCCCTGGAGCCCAGTCCGCCGGGTTTGCCAGCGCTCCACCCAAACCGGGGCCAACAAAGAGGCCAAGGGAGAAGACAAGACCCATCGTGCCAAAGGCCCAGGCTTCATTCTCGGCATCCACCAACTCGCCCAAGTAGGTCCTCGCGACGCACGCGTTGCCACAGAAGAAGCCGTCCATGAGGCGAGCTGCCAGCGCTGCCCAGTAGCTGTCTGCAAGGCCGAGTAGAAGCGGCGCCACCGCGGAGCCCGCCAAGCCCACCAGAAGAACCGGGCGCCGGCCAAACCTGTCGGCCAGCAGACCCCACATGGGGCTGAAGAGGACCTCGCACAAGGAGTAGGAGCCCACCAAGACCGAGACCCAAATAGAGATGCCGGGGTCACCACGGGGCTTGGCTAGCAGATGGGCCACAAACTCATCCACGTAGGGCGAGAGCATGGTGCCGTTGATGCAATCTATCAGGCTGATGCAGCACAGGACCGAAAAGGCCTTGCACGTAAGCCTCTTCTCCACCGGAGCCATGCGTGCAAAAGCTGTGAGCAGCCTGGCGAATTGACAAGCTCCGCTGCTCTGTTCTGCATGTGTCCCATTCTCTTTCCGCATCGACTGTGGTAGTCTTAAGCTATGTTGTTTTCATGCATCTGGCAACAATATTGTCTTTCTCCCATGGGCCACAACAACTCTGCGACGTTGTCCTGGCCACCGCAAGGAGAGAGAGAGAGAGAGAGAGAGAGAGAGAGAGAGAGAGAGAGAGAGAGAGCGAGAGAGAGAAAGAAAATAGAAAGAAATAAGAGAACGAAGTGCGAGTTCACCTCCTTACACGCCATAGGATGCTGGGGGTTCAGGTATGTATGAATGAAGCTGGCATGACTCCTAGAGAATGCAGCTATCTTATGGGGGGGTAGGTATTATTAAAGAAATTGAGAACAAACGCGTTGCAATCGTCAAACTCTGATCCGATCCTGAACCCCGCTGGCTGAGAAGGCAAGGGTCCCCACTTTTTGGCGCAGGCAGACCTGTCACCTACCACCGAGTTCGCAAGCTTCGCCCTCCGCTTCTGCAGCAGCGCTGCGGCGCTGCCACGGACACTCTGATGCCGAGGTCCCTGTACGCTGACGAAGCACTAGAACAGCGCTGACCTGCTCACCGACATGGCCAAGGACCTACAAGTGTTCAGGCTGTTCAGAAAAAAGACCAGTGCACTTTGCTATCTCTTAAACCTCTGATCTCGCCCCTTCTTGGTTTGCAGCAAGTTCTCACCCTTGAAGTCCCCCTTGCGCTGCCCTCGCCTGACCTCTGTCCTAACACCTTTCACATCCACGTCTGAATTCTTCAAGATGTCCATGCACAACGCCAAGTGTGATACAATCCTGCAGGAACTACACCAGCAACGAATCGCGAAGCCCGACGTGCTTCCGGCTTTCTGTTTCCTGGAACCCGATGACCAAACATGCGAAATCTCGCACTGTAGCCAAAACATATCAAAACCCTGTGAGCTGTCTTGCATGTGTTCACCCGCACGAAGAGCCCTTCGACCCCTCCAAGAACCTGCATGTGACTGTCAGAACGAAGCAGGTTTGTGCAGCAATTATTCAGCCAAAGCACCGATGCTGGAATGAGGTTGACATAGAAACCGAGGTAGCGCCCCAGACGATGATCCCACGTCTCCAGGGCGCAGCCCACGTGCACCAAGGCGCCAGCAGCTTCCGGGCCCAGGCCACGAGCAAGGGCGTTCAGCGAGCCGCACCATCCATTCACCACGGCCCGATTGTGTGCACTGCACTCTTTGTTGACAAGCACCGTGCAGATAGGGAAAGCGATGCCAAATCCCAACTGACTTGTCGCTTGCCAGAGCGTGATTGGCAGCAACCGCCAGAAGGTTGACTGATGTTGCTCGGCCATGTAATACAGGGGCATAGGCAAGGTGACGACGATCGTCCAAAGCAGGCCCAGGGCGTAGCTAGCGTGATTCCCGGCCCTGTTCACTAGACATGTATAGCAGGTCACCTGGTTCAGGGCTAACATGACGGCAGCACAGGCTTGGATGCATGCAAGCTGGTGTGACGATATGGCCAGGCCGTGCAAAGTCCGCGGCAGGGACGAGACCAGGATGAAGCTGTTCAGACGGGCAGCGACGTAGCCACTTAGGAGGCTGCTTGCGATCAACAGCTGCCGAAGCTTCCGGCCTTGGGGAAGAAGGTGTCCAAGCCTCCTTGCACCACCACCCTCTGTGTCTTGAAGCAGGTTTGCATCTTGCCCATTCCTCCGAGTCTCGGGCAGCGCGACAAGGCCCAAAGCAAACACGGCTGTCACCAAGACAGCAAAAAGCAGGTTAGCGAGAAGGAACGGATGGCGCTCAAAGAACGTGTCGGCAAATAGTTGCGGCTCCCAGCCCGCGGGATGCGCCAGGCCTCCACCCAGCATGGGACCCAGGAAAAGCCCAAATGAGAAGACGGCGCCCAAGGTGCCAAAGGCTTGAGCTTCATTGTCAGAGTCCACCAACTCACCCAAGTAGGTATTTGCAACACACTCATTCCCACAAAAGAAGCCATCCAAGAGGCGAGCACCAAGAGCAGTTGGGTAGCTGTCTGCAAGACCCAGTAAAACCGACGAGACCGCTGATCCAGCAAGGCCTGTCAATAAGACAGGCCTTCGGCCGAACTTGTCAGCTAGCAAGCCCCACATGGGGCTGAACAAGACCTCGCACAGGGCGTAAGACCCCACCAAGATGGAGACATAAATGGATATGCCAGGATCGCCGGGAGGCTTGTCAAGCACATGGGCCACCAGCTCATCCACGTAGGGGTTTAACATGGTGAAGTTGATGCAATCGATCAAGCTGATGCAGCACAGCACGGCCATGGCCTTGCGCGTGAGCCTCCCCGCCATGACGGCGGACTTCAAGGCAGCCCCTAAGCTCTCGGACCCAGAGGTCAAACCATGTCAAGCCCCTGAAGCCTAAAGACTTCGGAGCAGTCTAGTCTGGATCAGCTTTCCCTTTTACTACGGCAGCCATCCCATCATAATGCTCTATTTTGACGGCATTACAAACCGTTTCATAAGAGGGGCGGGCTTTGAAATGCACATCCCCTTTCCCTGGCCCCCAAGCCGGCGAGCTTCAAAAGAACTCGGCCACTGCCTGCAGTGCGGCCTGCAGGCTCTTGGTCTCCCACTTCGACTTCTGCCTCGGCTCAGGGGGTTCGAGCCGCGCAAAGACTGTTGGAGCCTTTTGGCGGCTCTCTTCGCTGACAGTCGCGCAAGGCTCCAGGTAGCATACAAAAACCGGCGAGCGACCACACAACACCATACCCCTTTCCTCTCGGCAAATCTTGGCACCTTCTCTCCTTGCGCTCCGTGCAGCGATGACTGAAACCCACCCAAAGCTTGAAGCCAAAAGGTTTCCCTAAGCCCGAGGGAAGCCCCAACCTCCCCTAAACCGCACGACAGTTCTTCGTTTGCTCCGCGATGCCATAGGAGATCGGGTCCTACGGTCCTACGGTCCTACGGGGTCAGGAAACTATTGGCAACCGACAGGAATTCCATGGCGCTGCTCAGCAACAGCGGGGCATCACGTCCAACCCTACGTCCCAGAGGCCCGAACATGGCCCCCAACCCCCCGACTTTGCACATGGCGCCTCTGTCGGGTACAACGAACGCAAACGAGAGGAAACTCGGCGCATCTTTTGCGCGAACGTACTCGCAACAAAAAATTTTCCATGCTCAAAAATCACAACTGCCACCAGGCGTTCGCGCTCAGTGCTCGCGTGCAACTGTGCACAGCGATGTTTGCGACACACTCGAGGTCCGATTTCCAAAGCCCTTCCTTTTGTTGGACGCTTAGTTCTTGTGTTCTACACGTGTCAGTTGCACTTGTCAAAGCTTTCCCTTTGCGAAGATCGCTTAATTCCGTATGTCAGAACGCACCCTAGTTCAAAAAGCAGTGTCTTTGCAACAAGAAAGAACAGTGACCCTCATTAGTTTCATATCACAGGGTTTGTAGACCTGACGTTTCTGGCCTTCATTGCTTTCAGTTTTGGGGGCTAAGGACCCAAATAGCGTGACCCTAAATCATCTACTGTCGATGAGTCCAGCCGTAGTATGGAGGGGCAATAGACGCAAGCCTAGCAATGAGCCCTTTGGACCTCCTGAAGACCCTTTCCGACATGCAACCTGAAAGTCACAAGTCTCCCAAGGTTGTCAGGCGCTCAGGGGTTTGGGGTTCGGGTTGACAGCTCTGATCACCACAGGCCTGCTCGAAGAGGCTGTAGGGCCCAGGATGTAGTCAACTGTGAAGTACTGCAGGAATTACCGAAGCGTGAAACACTGAAGGGCCGAGCAAAGTGAGATCCACTGAACGAGACACAACATGAAAAGTTCCGCAACCAAACCCCCCTCCCTCACCTCCTCAACCCCCAAAAGCCCAGAAACCTGCCAATCCTTGCAAGTCATCATCCCTCCCATCTTTCCGAGCATTAGCTAAGGCATCTGCGCCCCTGTCAAAACTCGACCCGAAAATTCAATTCCCAAGATGGTGCATGTTGCTGTTGAGTGCTGCTATTGAGAGCTGCTATTGAGAGCTGGTGAGTGCTGCACTTGCAGCTGCAGCTGTAGCTGTGCAATAGCAGGAGGACGAGGAGGAGGAGGAGAGAGGAGGAGGAGTAGTAGGAGTAATAGGAGTAGTAGGAATCGCAGGAGTAGGAGTAGTAGGACTAGTAGGAGTAGTAGGAGTAGCTAGGAGTAGTACGAGTAGTAGGAGTAGTAGGAGTAGGAGTAGTAGGAGTAGGAGGAGTAGTAGTAGTAGTAGCGTAGCAGTAGCAGTAGCAAAAGTAAAAGTAGAAGTGGTAGTGGTAGTGGTGGTGGTGGTGGTCGTCGTTGTCGCTGTAGTAGTAGCAGCAGTAGAAGTAGCAGTAGCAGTAGCAGTAGCAGCAGCAGCAGGAGCAGGAGCAGGAGCAGGAGCTGGAGCAGTAGTAGTAGCAGTAGCAGTAGCAGTAGCAGTAGCAGTAGCAGTAGCAGTAGCAGCAGTAGTAGTAGTAGTAGCAGCAGCAGCAGAAGTAGTAGTAGGAGTAGTAGTAAAAGAAGTAGTAGTAGTAGTAGTAGTAGTAGTAGTAGTAGTAGTAGTAGTAGTAGTAGTAGTACTCGTAGTAGTACTGGTAGTAGTAGTAGTAGTAGTAGTAGTAGTAGTAGTAGTAGTAGTAGTAGTAGTAGTAGTAGTAGGAGTAGTAGCAGCAGCAGCAGTAGCAATAGCAACAGCCATAGCAGTAGCAGTAGGAGGAGCAGTAGCAGCAGCAGCAGCAGTAGCAATAGCAGTAGTAGCAGTAGTAGTAGTCGTCATCGTAGTCGTCGTAGTCGTCGTAGTAGTCGTAGTAGTCGTAGTAGTCGTAGTAGTCGTAGTAGTCGTAGTAGTTGCAGTAGTCGCAGTAGTCGTAGTAGTCGTAGTAGTCGTCGTCGTCGTCGTCGCAGCAGCAGCAGCAGCAACAGCAGCAGCAGCAGCAGCAGCAGGAGGAGGAGGAGGAGGAGTAGGAGTAGGAGTAGGAGTCGGAGTCGGAGTAGGAGCAGGAGTAGGAGGAGTAGTAGTAGTAGTAGTAGTAGTAGTAATAGCAGCAGCAGCAGCAGCAGCAGCAGTCGTCGTCGTCGTCGTCGACAAGGTTTGTTCTCACCTAGATAAATTTGACAGGAGCATCTGCCACGTCGATCACCGAAGCGAAGTGAACAACGAATCTAATTCAACGTGCAGCAATCGCAATCTGCTGTTCATCAGCTAATTCAACTGCGGTCCCTTCACTTCAACGTCACCTGAAAGATTCCGAGCGTTGCCTTCCAGCACCTGAGACAGCTTCAAGGCTTCAACAATGCCCGCGACCGCTGGAAATGCCAAAATAACAGCAACACTTACAGCGCCACAACTCCACTCTGCGAGCACAGTCGTAACCATCACTGGCAACAGAACCCACAAAGTTCAGTGCATGTTTTTCACCCCCGCGAATGTTGAGCCCTGCGTAATGCCTTCCTTGACAATCCGAGCTCTGGGCACACCTAAAGCCCAGACCAGCTCAAGACTTTGCTAAGTCCGTTTATGGCAGCAGGTCAGCAGGACTTCAAGCAAGCCCCTGCCTTGGCGAAACTGCAGGTCGAACTCCACACTGCTGGCGGCCTGTTGCTGGTGCGGCACCACAAACTTCGCAAGGTCCACCTTGCTAGAGGCCGGGGGGCTTGCCAAGGAAACTGTGCTGCTGAACAACTCCAAGGCCACGGCCTATGCTCAGTAAACGATGTCAATGCCGAACAGCATTCCCAGATAAGGTGTATGTTGCTTGGGCTGAAGGCTTTCGAAGTCTTTCGAAGAACCCCGCCGCCTGGCACCGGAGGCCCGGAACGCCGCCAGAGGGCTCCAGGACGTGCGGCTCATGGGAGCGCCTGGCTGCCGTAACAGACGGGCACGTTCCCTGGCTCTACAACGCTCTGCTGCTTTGCCGTTGGATCTCCAGTTGAAAGGATTTACTGCACTTCGGGCGATTGTCAACTGCCCATTCGAAGAGGCATTTGCCACCTGCCTAGCTGGCCTATCAACACCACTGGCGAAATCCCTCGATCTGCCCACTAAATGGTAGGGGGAACATGTGGGTGCAAGGTCTGGAGAATTCCCCATGCACAAGCCCCAAGGTTCGGGTGTGAAGCTCAGGTTTGGAGGGGCCTGAGCTGGCATGAACCCAAAGCTTGTAAGAAGCTCTCCAGGTCAGCCCAGCTGCAAGCGGATCGACGACCATCTCTTCAGCGCCTGGCCCCCGAAAGTGACCTTACACTCGCCACACTCTGGAAGAAGACTGGCAAGAGCTTGTTCGGAGATGTCGCGGCCGCGTCGTATCGTATGAGAGGTACTATTTGCGCAGGTTCCAAGGGCTTTGGCTCTCACACACACGGCCAGCAAGGACCACGGCTCGCATCTCCACAAGTTCCGCTTCTAGGCTCTACATTACATTCAAGCACGCTGTCAAAAACAATGAAATGGGGAGGACTCTGCCTGGCTAGGTTAGCTACCACCTGCATCGCTGCGCTATCGAAGTCCGTATTCATATTCTCTCACCTACTTTGTCGGCACCCGCCCAATCAACACTGCACCTCTTCTCAAGAAGCCCTCCACAGCTCTTTGCCGCCAGAAAAGGTCAAAGGAACTTCGCTCGAGCCGAAAAGGGAGGAGCCGGCTCTGAGCTGGTTAGTGCCTCAGCTTTTCAGGTTTTCTGATGTGCTTGTTTCAGGGCTTTGTTTCGTCTCCCACTTCCGCAATCATGCCTAGAAAACGACGCCCCCATGGCAACACCTTCTCCACGCAAGGCAAAGCGCAATCACAAGCAGTCATAAACAAGCAGTCAAAAACAAAAAGACACAGGTCCTTTTGCTTTCGGAGCCAAAGGCATCCAAGGCTCAGAGGAGGGTTGTGCCCCGCTTCACGATCGGGTGCACCTGTGATGGCTCTCCCTCCCGGAGATGTGAGGAGGACATGCAAAAAAGATGACTTTTCCTTGTCGATGATTCTGCTCGTTGGGGGGGGGGGGCTTTGTGGGGCCACCAAAACCTCAAATACAAACAGAGGCGGCACGTCTACGGCACCTCAAAGCCTCAATCGAGGTCTCAACGGAAGCAACGGAAACTGCAGGCAATTGCCGTATATTGCCGTAGGCATACTGAGGGAAGGAGCGGGGGACCCCAAGCTACCACTTGAGCTCACAAAAGAATTGCCCCTTCAGACACTGAGGGTCCTTTGTTGCAGTTGACACGTCTGAAGCGCAACTGTTGTCCAGCCGAGAGGGCGCAGGGCCTTGCGGAAGAACTTGGAGAGAATCTTGCTCAGGTCGCTTCCCTGATGCTGGTCCTTCGCACGTAAGAATTTTGGC